TATGTGCTATATTACAATTCAAAGTATATATGAATTTATATATATGTATATCGTACATATGTACATATGAACGTGAATTTAACGCTACACAAATTATGCGCCATTTGTTCGCTTTCCACGCCCCGGCGATTAAAAGTACTTCAGAAGTTGATTGGCTCTTTAAGTCACAAAAAATGTTTCACTCATGCGAACTCACACAAATTCTGCTTTTCACCGCTTTGTGGAAAGTGGAAAATATCTGTGTGTTTCCGACACAGAAAATATGCCATACATACATGTATAATAAATATGTACAAGTATGAATAAATATGTATCAGTTTATGTTTGTATATCTATATCCTCCACTATTGTTTACTGCTCAACGCCAAAGTCAAAGCGAACGCAACAACAATTTCCCGCCAAGCGTTTCTAAAACTTTTACAAGCATGTTGGCTATCCACTACATACTTTGTACGAGTGTGTGTGTTTGCAATAAATGCCACTCAAAATAGTGGTGTTTGCCAAGGCGGAATTGGATGTGAGTGAGTGGGTTGAGTGGTGCGCACAAGTGGCACGCTTGTTGCATGCAACATCACTTTTATTGAAAGGTGCATCAAAAGCACAGACGAAGACAACTATAAAAGCAACCGGCAAATTTACTATTTATTCACACATACACTTTCATATACAAGCTGACTTTTTGTTTGCAAAATTATTAGTTTCCATTTCCTCAGTTTAGCTCAGCTTCAAAAAAAAGTACTCAATTATGAGTAATGAATAACTGTGTGTAACGTTAGCCGGCTTTTTGAACACGTTTAGTTTCGTGTGCTGAGTAAGCTGAGAGAGCGCGTGAGTTTTATTTCACGTTTGTGCGCAATTTTACAAACAGTGTAAGTCAAAAGTAATGGTACCGAGCTGAGTTAGTAATTACGAAGCTATCAAAAAGCTGAAAATTTATATAAAGTATAGTAAACATTAAAACTTAGTCAACAAATTTATTAATAATGAAAGAGTGATAACTTTTGAAGTGAAAAATGTTTAGAAAATATATATTAAAACGAAAAAAATCTAGGACAAAGTTTAAATTAATGAAAGAGTACAAAAGCTTAGACTGAAAATTCTTAAAGCTATATATCCTTACCAAACAGTGGACTTAGTTTTGCAAGATTATCAGTCGAAAAATGTTGCAGTAGACAGGTTACCACCAAAGGTACGTTGGGTTGAATTAAGATGTCGATCCTAGCAAATGTAACCTCTAGCAGAAAACTTCGGTTGACGAAATATCTTCAGAAACTTGGTATGATTTATTACCTAAGGCAATGGGGCAACCCCCGAAGAAATAGGTGCAGTTTGGATCATTGCAGAATATAGTTACCACACAAACTGACCCATCAAAATCAAGTTCTTGTAAGTATTAAAGGGTGATCCATTTCGAGGTTCCGCAATTTTTTAAATAAAAAGCACAGTAACTTTAATTTTATCCATTAATTATCATTCCAAACAACATTATTTGGCATTTATTTTTTGAAGAGTATCTCTTTTAAATGTTAGCCTCGGCTATATCTCAGATGGTCCATTCGTTGAGTCCAGTTTGCAAATGACACGCGTATGTTTTGCTCCAAGGCCTGAATCGCAATGCAACTGTCTGCATAGACTTTACATATCCCCACAGGAAAAAGTCTAACGGTGTGCTGTCACAAGATCTTTGCGGCGGACCAAAACTTCGGCTACACACCGAAGTGTTCTCTCAACAAATCCATTGATAGATGCGTGGTGTGGAAAGTGGCGCCGTCTTCTTGAAACCAAATGCCGCGGAATCAATTTTAGACACCAACTAGTCAGTTATCCTGGCGCGATAACGGTCGATGGTGCCACCGTCCCACATACTTTACCAAACCGTCGTATTTTCTGGATGAAATGGCAGCTCTTGAATGTCTTTAACTTACTCTTCGTCCCAAATGCGGTAATTTTGCTTGCTTACATACCCACTGAGACAGTAATGGGCCTCATCGATGACCAAAATTTTCCTCGAAAACATCGGATCTTTTGGGAACTTTTCCAGAGCCCACAGAACAAAGCGATGTCGCTTGGGAATATTAAATGGCTTCAGTTCTTGCACAAGTTGTATTTTGTATGCTATTAATTTAAGGTCTCGACGTAAAATGCGCCAAGTCGTTCCGTACAGTAGTCCAAGTAGTCTTCAAGATATTTTGCATAAAATTGGAAATATCTACACATTATTCATGTTCTTATCTATCTTTTTAAAGTCTTATACAAAATCATATTTATATGCGAACAACTATAGTGGTAATATACATATGTACATACCCGTATAATATACAATAGAATTAGTTCCTACTCATAATTGATTCCTTTCTAATTATTCCTACACAGAAACTTTAA